CTGACTCAATAACCATTAAAACAACTATTTTCATTCATCTCAGACGGAATTATTCACTGACTTGTGTTATATTAAACTGAGCTTCCCATTTTCCCCACTGTTCGGCGCCAAGTAATCTTTCCTCTGATCACGGCTTGCTTGGTCTCGCAATGAATCCTGGGTAAACCAAGGATACCGAGGATACACCGGACCCGTCCTTCAAATCAGGCAAAAAGAAGGACGCATTTTAAGGCCGCATAACAAGGACTCTTGGAATCCGACCAGACCTCGGCGCCGCGCTATGACGTAATCATACTTCGAATCTGGCCGTCTAAGGAAGCGTCCTAGGTTTTCAAACAGAGCAATTGTTTGGTGTTTAGATTTTTTTCTTTCTATATATTAACATAAACAACAATAGATGGATATAATATTCAAATTGCAGGATTAATAATCAATTTTGTGGTAATTGAGAATTAGGGAAAATATTCAGAGTTTTTTTGATTGAAATGTATAAAATCAGACATTTCTTTTATAACATTTTAGTTACCTGATACCTGTGCCTTTATTCATGCATTTTGCAATATGTACATTTTTTAAATTCATTTTTGATAAAACATTGTGGTGTACTTTTTTAAGATCATTTAACCATAATTTCTTGGAGATCAAATCCAAAAATTATCATTTCATTTCACATGTTCCTTATATATGAAATAACAAAGTATTTAGCATGTGTAGAGATTCCCTGAAGTTGCTTAAGTTTGGTATCAAGCTCTTTCCTCTGCTCTGATGGTTGCTGCATTATTCATGAATCATTGCAGTTTATTGATTTGGCGTAAGTACCTCATATGGTTCTGTTATTAAAGATTCGTATAAGTACTTTTATCAGGCTATGAAACTAAGAGGTTAATGCAAGAATATACTCAAGCATTGGTTAAACCAGTTGGGATGTTGACATGACTAATTCTGCTCTGAACAATAAGCAACAATATTAAGTGGTTAATGATGGTTAAACACTGGAACAAAAACATAACTGTAGTGAATTTATTATTTCTAGCAGAGTTAGTTTTCAGATAGCAGGGCACATGCTATCTGTATTACTACCCTACCCACTCATTGTGCAGTAGACCTAATTTTAATGTCCGGACCCTACATAGACCTCATTTAGATATAAGTCAATGTTAACTTTATAAATATCATATAGTGGGAAATGCATCTACATTCAGACCATTTTAAGATAAAGCAGTTTTGCCCTCATAAATGTTTTGTAATATTCAACATAATCAATTAAAACTCAACAAACTAAAGACTTTTAGTCATAGCCAAGTGTTTTCATCTTGAAATATTGGAGTAGAAACATGAAATTATGCATTTATTTTGAAAGCAGAGAAGTAAAAGAATAGTTATATAAATCTAGATATATTCGCATATGTCTACCGTTTCAGAGAAACAACAAAAGTCTCTTTTATCTGAATTGTCGCTGTACATTTAAGCTGGACAGTATGTGCACTGACAAGACAATATCTAGGCATCATCAGAAAGGAAATTACGTGCAATCGAGAAATTCCCATCTTTGTTGTGCTTTCACACAGCAGCAGTGACTCTTTTGAAGATAACTCACCAAGTTGTCCTTGTAACACAAGCTGTGTCCTTCCTATACATCTGCCTGTTTTTTTTTTTACTCAAAAGAAATGTACATATCCTGTTGATATGCATTCTCTTTGTGTAATGATGGCAATTCAGAAAATATAACGTGTTTGAGTGTAGCAGTTCTGGTTGGAAATGATGGTTGGTACAAAAAAAAATGTATTTTTTTGTAGAAATGAACCTACTCTTCTTAGATAACTTCTAGAGATTCTCTGGTCGGTAATCTCATATTTTCAATATAGAAATATTTCTTGTTTCTAGTACAAAACAAACATCTAAACATGTCTTCATATCCACCATTATTCATTATAATAGACTATTTTCTCTATTTTAAATCTATTGTAAGAAAGAAACAAGGGGTGTTGGCCTTCTCTACTGGGGCTACTGAGGTTCAGGCAAAGGAAACAAAAAATGTTTTCATTTGAAAAAGCAGCTGTATTTTAAAATATGTATGTATTATAATTGACACGTAATGTAAATGTATTGAAAAGTTTTGTCAGAAAAAATATTATGTTTGTGTGCTTTAAAAAAAAAAACAGTGGCTCACTTACAGAGCGTTTACAATGGCGCATTCAATGTATTATTGTTTTTGAAGGACAGCATAAAATTACTTTCCTTTGAACAATGTGTATCACAAATTACGTGTTTGTCATTGAAAAGTGGGAGATCAACCTGTTTTCCTATCTGACACACCTAATGCAACAGTCTCTGCTGTGATTCATAGACTTGCAGACTGTTTGCGTACGTCAGGGTAATAATAGTTACTAGCAAATAGCCATAGTTAATAGAAGTAATAGTACATAACTTGCTAATAGCTCCAATTCAATCATGCACTGACTAAATGATGACTCAAACAAGCATCACCAAACACACAACAATACATAAGTTCTTACACTGTTTTGTAATTAAAGAATTGGTTGGGGGTGGGTGGGGGGGCTTAGGACAAAGCTCCCAACGCCCATTACACAGAGGTTACCATAGAGACAGGCCAGCGAGAGCAGGCCCAACTAGGAAACGGCAAGAATTGTCTGGAATTCAATCTCAGTGCTGGCTTCAATCTACAAGGTCATTCATTCATTCTGACAACGACTGCTCAGCCGATAAACACCTCATTCTCATGATAATCAACAAAACATCCAGCCACAGAGGACAAAGTCTTACAGACAGCATTTGCTACAGTGATGAAGAAATCCAGGAAAAGCTATGGATGGAAACGTGCATGACACAATATCTTAACGGACATTAGCACTGGAAAGGTACGACGTCTGCCACTGAACGCCGTCTGCGGCTTAATCCCTATCAGTTATTTGCCACAGGCCTCCTCAATAATCCCTTATGCAATAAATGGACACAACCTTGCGTGGTGGTTGATCTAATGTCAGAGTCATATGATTATGATTAATGAGGATTCCTTATTGTTCCTTTATGAGTTTCAGTACAAGCTGGGCTGAGGGAGATACCATTTTATATCGAGTCTGTGTCAATAAACAGCGCTGACCGAGGGCTGCCTTGGCTCCGCAAAAAAAAAAAAAAGATAGTCGACAGAAACAAAAATCAATTTCGAAGCTGTATTTTATCATTCCGGCTAGAGGGGGAAATCCATTTTAAGGTTGGTGGGGGGGGCACAGCCCCCGAATGCAGTTAAACGTATTCATACCTGTAAACCTTCATTTGACAATTTTCAAGAAAAATTAATGTTTTCATTTTATTCTGTTGTTTGTTTTATATAAGCAAAGCTACACCAATCGTTGGTTGGTTCTCTTTCGGTATGAACGGACCCCAACATGTCGCCCTGGTGTGTTTTCTTACGGACGTGTTTCCATTTTCTTTCCCTTCTCCCCTCTCCTTCAGCTAACACTCCCTTTGCCTTCTCCTTGTTCTCGTACACACCCAGGCAGCCATAATCCCTCCCTGTAGAAGCCACTCTGGTCAGTAAGTGAATGCAATAAACTGTATCAATTTTCCACTATTGATTATGGATACCCTATATGGGTGCAGAAAAATTCTGAGCATGGTAACAACAGAAGGCTGTGATGCACAAAAATGCAAAATTAGCACATGAAAAGTAAAATGTGTTTCAAACATCTGTTTTGGTGTAACCTATTCTAGCATTGTTTTTATGTATTGCTAAATGAAATGCATTTTCTTGTTGATTCTCAACCTACACATGTAAACCACATTTTCAGGATTATCAAAATCAATCATATATCTAGCAAAAATAATTGTGGAAAAATGGATTGGGATAAATAAATGGATTAAATTTAGTCTTAATGGAGGATGTGCATGTTCCCAATGACTGGAAATGTGCAATTTGAACACCTTTTCATTCATTTAAGTCAACATGAACTTGAAAATAATGTTCACAGTGGGGGAGGGGGAAAGGGTTAAATCAAATGTTCATTATAATACAGACGTCACTTATTACTAAGGGCCACATTCAAAGTATGAAAAGCTGAGAGCATGACAGGTGACTTTAACGTTTAAAAAAGGCATTCATTTTTTGTCAAATTAATTAAAAACTTTTAATAAAAATCCAAAATTCTTCATGCATTGTTTTTTTCTATCTATGCCATGAAACCAAGCAAACATTACTATGGTTTTCTTTGGCACAGGATGCACCTATAAAGGCCAGAAATGTTTATTTTTGCATAAGATCTTGAGGGATTTGTCAGTTCAAGCCTCGCCCGTCCCTCTCCCTCTCCATCAGGGGAGTCAAACCTTCTGACAACCGTAAAAAAATCCATTTCATGTGGGTCACAGGTGACCTTCTGTTCTTCCCCCTTCAGTCATTTGGCAGTCTAAAATTAATTAGTTTTTTATGTATTTTTTTTTTTTTATCTTTATTATTGTTGCTTTCTTTTTACAGAAGGTACATTTGTGTGTCAGGTTAAAAACTTACCATTTAAGATGCTCTGGAGGAAGATAAAAGCCAATATCCACATGCCCTGCTCCGTTCAATCCCCCCAAAGCTATGCTTTCTCGTCTTCCTCCGACCGGTGCCTCCCTGGGTTTCTCTTCAGTGCGCCTGGTGTAAGGTTAAACATTTGCGTGTGTCTTGATGCGAGCCAGTCCGAGTCTCTTTACTTGCTTTACGCACAAATGAGTAAAAAATGTCCTTTCTACTTTAATTCCCCTTCGCTAACCTGTGTCTTTGCTTTTATTTTTCTGCGCTCGGACAAAATGAGGCTCTGTGATTGTCTTGGGGAGAGCGCTGCGCGCAGACTCTCCTCTTGTGCTCCGCGTCTTGCTGCTTCTCCCTGTTATTCAAAGGGGATGCTGAAGTGGTAAAACCCAGGTGTGTGTGATGCTGAGTCAGAGCCGGGTCCTGGTGCCAAGATAATTTCCCAAATTAGCCATAAACTAAATCTCCAAAACAAATCCTAAAAAAAAAAGAAAACAAAGCTTTGATTATCTAATTTTAACAAAAAATAATTAAGTCATCCTTGGAGAAAAGATACTTTTAGACAATTAAATAGGATCCAACTAAAAGAAGAATAAAGCAAAAAAGTGGAGAGAGGATGCGAGGATGGAAAAGACCCTGTTTTTTGTCAGACTCCAAAGTCAGATCATCTTCATGGCTTCTTTGCGTCCAGCAAGGAGCGGGCAAGCGCATCTTCCCGCTGTCGTTCTCTAATCGCAGCCTCACAGACTCTCTGAGTATTACACAGAATAACCCTCTCCCCCTGCCCCTGCAGGCGCTTTAATTCCTCATTGCCTTAAAGGAGCAGAAGCGGCTACCGGTCCGTCTTGAGGGCAGGACACCAGGAGGAGGTGTAGGAGCACTCACTGAGCGGGGCATTTGCATTAAGGAAATAAGGCACCTGACGCACCAAGGATTTTACGCACGGGGTTAAATTGGCTTTGGGAGAAGGCGGTGTTTGTTTCTGAGCAGGTGCACCAAGCATCCAGATCTGGCTTTGATTGATCCAGTATTCCAGGCTGTTTCTCTACCCCAGAGGCGCTTCAATAAAGTTTTGCAATGGGTATCCAGATGGGGGGGCACCAGTTATCAAGGAGTAAAAATTTTTATATGGCAGTACATAAAATCTATCAAACATATAATTAAGTAAATCAGAAAAAGTATTAGACTTGGGGTTTTTTTTCAACATCCTAATACTAGTAAGAATGTGTCTTCCACTGAAAAAAATAATGCAACCATTTTTGGCATTTACTTAATCATATTTAGTTACTTTAACCCCTAGAACCCTACGGACCCACCGGTGGGTCCAGCTGCCACATGACCTCGTAACTTTAACAAAACCCCAGTATTGATGTAAAAAACACATTTGGCACAGTTTGGTGACATTTTTGGATAAATGTGCCAAAATGGCCCCTCCGCCTAAGAAATTTCTCACTATACCATTCTAAAATAAATTTGACTCATCTGATTGAGTCCCAATTTGCTACA